TACCCATCCCACCAAAGCAGGTAGCCACTCTTGTCCCCTCCAATGCATCCTCAAAATAATTATTGTTTTAAAACATGCATATGACCCTGTCACTCTGCAGTGACTTCCACTAGCTTGGGAGTGGTAAGACCTAGAAGGAGAGCATGATTTGGCTCTTCTACTATTTTCAGAGTTGGTGCTATAGCTACTCCTCCCCTCCCTCAAGTTGTGCTGGCCTCTCTACTCCTCCAATGAGCCAAACTCCTTCTCATTTCAGAGCTTACAGTCCCTTTTTCTAAAAACTCTTCTTCCCCCTTTCCATGGCTTATGCATACTCATCTCTCGAGTCTTCCTAAGAAAGGGTCTTTCTGACTTCTCAGGCAAGGTTAAATCCCATGTTTTACACTCTGATTATAGAGTGTTATTTTCCTTCACTGTACTAGCATCAATCTATCTAAGCATGTGTGTGATTATGTGATTACTGCCTTACACCCACAAGACCAAAAACTTCATGAGGGTGGGCAATGTACTAATTTTGTTTACTTTATGCCCAGTGCCAAGGATAGTGCCTGACACAGTATATCCTAAACAAGTTTTCTTGGAAGGAACAAAAAGAAGGACGGTCAGAATGAGGGAGGTAGAGAGGAAAGAAGAAAGCAAGGAGGGAATAAGGAAGGAAAGAAGCAGGGAATGAGGCAGGGAGAAAGGCAGAAAAGGAGGAGTGGAGGTCCCAATGGGGCAAACTGGGAAGATATTTGATTCTCAGTCTCTAATTGGAGAGCTGGAAGGGTTAAACGTAGCTCTTACCTGAGGCCTCAGTGCTCAAAGGCAGAAGTTGAACAGCAAAATATTGTCCATGGGATAAGGCTGAGTTCAAACCACAGAGGCAGGTCCAATTGGGTCATCAGAGCAAAGGGGGTCTGAGGTGAGTATTAGGTATAGAGCAAAATAAGAATAGGAAAAGCAGGGAAGAAGAAGGCAAATAAGAAATAATCTATACAAATCCAGGAAACTGTAGGACAAGTCCACCAGCTGGGCTCATGTCTTGATTTAGCAGCTTTTTATGCATGGGCAAAGCAAGTCTGATTAAAGGGACACAGACCTCACATAGTTGCCATATATGGATACATATTGTTCCAGTAGCCTAATAAATTGGGACTACTCTATACAAACCATTTGCCTGTGAGTCTGGTTAGCTCTCAGAACCCTGAGGAGACTGAATTAAGACAGAGCGTATGCCACTGCAAAGCCTAGGACGGGATCCTGCCCCACGGTGCCCTGCCAACATACTGGAGCTCAGTGAAGCTCTGCCAAAGCAGTTAGCTGGCCCCTCTCTTTTCTACATCTCCAAGGCAGCCTTTTGAAATTCAACATTTGAGCCAAATTTATCAAGCTCTTTGAGTTACACACTGTCTCACATTATCTCCCTTCTTGATCATCAGGTTCTGGGCGAGAGGGAAAGCATCTATTTCATTTTCTCATCTCCTAATGAGACTAGTATTAATACGTTATTTCAAACAGTAAGTGCTCAAAAATTATTGAATAAATATTGCTATATATTTCATAGATACTGGGAGTGATTACACCAAATAATTTTTTAACTTCTCGAGGAAAACCTTTTTAGACCTGAATTCTTTTTGAAAAAATACAAGGAATTGAACTAATTAATCTCTAAAACATTTCCAAGTTGTAAACTACTGAGACAATGACAAGGTTATGTCATTGTCATTTATGTAAAAATATATATTTATAACATCTCTATCATTTCTAGTATATTATTGGGCACATAGTGGGAACTCAATAAATGTTTGCAGTGTACTGACTCTACTACAGATATATTTAAGCTGAGAAGAAACAGAAATGTGTTTGTTTCTGAAGTTTCACATAAATTTCTTAAGAGTTGTACACTACTTAAAATATTCAAAAGCAATGTTATTAAATGGAGTCCAAAGGTGAATATTTTTTTTACAACATTTGGAATAACTTTGTGATATAATAACTTAATTTAATATTTTTAAGACACTTAAGAGTGTCTTTCACATTTTTATATATCGAAGTTCCTAATAATAGGATAAACCAGATTAGCAGTTTACAGTTATGGGGGAGCCAAATGACTTACTATTAAATCAAGCAATTCTTCATAGAGGGAACTGTCCCTCTTTCTAGTTTCACAGATTCCACTCCCCACCCACCCTACACAATTTTCTCTCTTGTGTCTTATTTTTCAAATTTAGTATATCTACCCACATTTATAATGACATTCACAATTTTTTCGCTTTCCAGGGTTCCCTTTCCACATTCCTCCCCCGTGCTTAACCACATGCCTCACCATTTGCAAAAATGGACATGCCTTCCACGGTGTCTGGATCATCCACAGTATCTAGATTCTTCAAGGCATCGGTCCCAGATGGTCGCTTTTGTATGAGCATGCTGGAAGTTGAAGGTTCCTCAGCTGAGAAAAAACATTTCTAGGTTACCCTCAAGGTGGAATTCAGGGAGGAGAGTGCGCTTTATTCTCTTTCACTTTCTCCATGGCTCTCAGCTAACTATCCAGGGCACTTTACGTATAAATCCAGTGAAAAAAATTAAAGAAGTGATGGCTCTTATCAATAACTATCTTACCTCCAAAAGGTTATACTCTTTGACATAAAAGAGGTGAAAGCAGAACACATACCTAGGAACTTTAAGACTGGGGTGGAAGAGAAAGCCATTTTCCTTCAGGATTATATTTATCTTATAGGTTTTGGAGTGTTCATATATTTAATACACCTACTACCAGCACATGTGCTACAAATCTTGTTCTCTCTCAGCTCCCAAGTCCTTGTTATCTGCCTGGGGACTATCCTCGCATAATAGGCCAAAATCTCACCTGACACTTGTGAAGGGAAAAGACAGGATTCAGTCATAAACATTTTATCATAGTGAGAATGGAATAAACCAGATCAGTTGACTGCTAAGGATTGCCTCTGCACTATTATGTCTCATATCCTATACTGAGATTCCTGGCAAGAGAATCCATTCTGTTACTGGAACATGATCAGGAGACAATGGTACCTGTTCTTTGAGGAGTCCTGACTAACTGGCGAGACTGAATTACACTTATGAAAAGTTTCAGATGCAATTCCACTTTACGCATGGTTGCCTCCTAAAAATAGAATATAATGCAAATCGACAGATCTGTGGAATGATTAAGATGGACAAAAATGACAAAATGACATGGACCACGTGTGTCATTACTAACAGGCCTTAGATCCTGATAATATAAAATGTCAGCATATGAAGTGATACATATTATCTACTTTTATACATTTGACAGGGCAAGATATCCTGAACTCAGCAAGCATTTTCTCCAGCAGCTGAGAGGAGTTAAAAGGCTGGAGGCTTCCAGCTCAGCCAAGTCTGACCTCAGACTGTGGCTGTCATCTGGGTCTAGAATGCTTACTCAAAAGCACTTCTCCAAGATTTCTAGACGGGCCTGGGTCCTGAGGCCCGCCAAGCTGAGGGACTTGGTGACAAGTCTAAATGAACAAACGTATGCTTTCTCATTATTTTCTTTTAAAAATAGAAAATAAAGGTTAACCAATTCAGTCCCACTAACAACAACATGGTCATCTAGCTCTTCAGAGAGCAGAATCCCAGGATGGATCTCTGGATCACTTTCCTCACACCTCTTGGAGGAGCGTTTCAAACTCGTCCATCGTTCTGGAAGTTTCTCCACTTTTCCAGAGTCTAGCCTAAGCCAATCCCAAGCTGTCGCCCCCGCCCCACCCTTTCCCCAATAGCCATTCATTCATGATACGCTGCAAAGAGTACAGGACCGCAAGTTAAAAAAACCTGTTTCCTAGTCCCAGATCTGCCATGTACTTTATAACTTTGGGAAATGATTCCACTTCTCTGAAACTCGTAGACTAAATGATGGCCAATAACCTCTACAAGCGCTAATGTTTTGTGATTCTCGCTAAAACACGAATCTTGCCCGAGGTAGATTTAGCTCTGGTCTACATCTGTCAAGGTGGCCACCGGTTCCTACTGTTCAAGGGCCACAGAGAGAAGCTGCCATGGAAACCAAAGCGTGAGCAGAAATCGCCGAGCGGAACCAGAAGGCGGCGGGTAAGGGGGCCGAGGGAGCAGAGAAAAGCGAAGGACGATGGGCACACTAACAGTATTCTAACAAGGAGAAGGAGAAGAAGCCCAAACTTAAAGAAGAAATCATGACTACAGCCTTAGATGATTCCCTTGGCGTCTCAGGCCTAGCCACACTGCGCAGGCGTTCCGCTCAGTCCTCAACTCTGCTCTTTGACCTCTCGCCCCACCCCCACCTCCTCCGCAGCCTCGGAACAGCTCTTCCGGTGTTGTGGAGGCGGTTCCGGTTCGCGGCGGTTCCCGGGTTTTGCGTTCCGCGCCCGGCCGGAAACCCCTTCGCATAGCAGCCGGTTCCGGTTCGGTGAGTGGCGGCGGGAAGCTGGGGGAGGGGTGAGGATGGAGGGAACCTTGACCGGGAGGCTGAGCGGGCCCGGGCCCGGCAGCCTGGGCTGGGCTGGACGGAAGCGGGGACAGCTCTGGGGAGTGTGCTTTTTCCTCTGCCCCGCCCCCTGGGACCACCTCCCCTCCCCCCTGCTGTCCGAGGCCGCGATCTGGCGGGTGGCCGTTAGTTAGCTTTCCCGAGGCCTTTCCTTGAGGCCTCTTTCTCCGGGGTCGAGGAGAGGCCGTCTCCCTACGGTCACGGCCGGCCCCATCCCAGCGCCCAGCCCTACTCGTGAGGAAAAGGCCGGTTGGGATTTCGGGGCTTTCCCGCCAGAGCAGGTCTTCTCTCAGGGGAAAGCTGTTTTCATCGGGAAGCTTAGCTTTTCTGTTAGACGTGCTTCACCTCCCGCCTTCCTTGAGGCTTGAAAGATATTTCTCGACTACTTCTGCGTCTCATGTAAACATTTCTCCAACTCTTACTCTGTGGTATCTCCCAGAGATGTGATACCGCTAGTGCCACCACCAGAAAGAAACGTCTGGACCCTCCTGCCCAGGTTATGAAAATCCCCTTAACTGCCGCCGTTTGCTTACCTGGTAATTCCCTTGAACCGTCTCTTTCTTGGCGTCCCCTATAACGTGATCTCTCTGGATATATGCCCAGTTTCTCTTGAGCTTGGTGATTTCTGTTTATCGGTGCCTCTGCAGTATTTCCACTATCTTGTTGGCTATAACTCGCTGCTTTATCACTTTCTCGTCAGTTTTGTTAAAGTCATTTCACCTCACGTTTGTTTTCTTTTTATATTTGGGGTGGTAGTGATTCTTGTGAAATTTATATAATGCCTTTTAGAGGTCCCCAACTAATTGACTTAGGGTCCTTCTTCCAAGTGGATGATTTTGGATGATTTTAGATCGCATCATCTCCTAAATCTTTATAAAGATAATTTGTGTTAAGGACTCCTGTTGAGAGCTAGATTACACTGAATTTGGAATTACAGTTACAGTGAAACTTTAAGCATATCTTTAAGAATGATCCCTCAACCTGCTAGTTTAGAGATTATCTTTTCTCCTTTAGTCCCGTATTGGAAGTCTCATTTGTTGTGGAGAAGCCTCACTCACTTAATTCGAATTAATTATCCCATCTGCAAAGATGGTCTTCCTATCACCCATCTAATGATGGATCTAGAGACAGCAAATGAATTAAAAAACAGGTTCTTCTACCTCAAGCTAAGGTGATGTAAATTCTTGACTACTGCTTTGGAAGTCTTTCCTTTTCTGTACCTGACTCCTACACCTTCTACCAGTTGCACCAGCATTATTATCTCATTTTAAGTATCTGTTGATGAATCTGGTTTCCTCCCTCTGACAGTGAGATTCTCAGCAGCAGGACCAGTTCTTACTCATCCTTGTATCCCCAGTCCACTCTGAGTTACTGGTGCACAGTAAATGTGTGTGTGTGTGTGTGTGAAAGAAAGCGAATCCTTTTTTTTAAGGATTTTAAGGTGTTAGAGTCTAATTTGAGTGATGACTTGTAGAAATTTGAAAGACAACCAAAAATTGCATAATGATATAGTGCAGACTGTTTCATATACATAATTTTCCAGAGTTTGTAATAGGATGATTCACATGATCACTTCCACACCCTTGTCATATCAGAAATTTTTCTTACTACATCTTGGTCCTGCAAAAAGCTAATTGTACAATGCCTCTCCTCAGTATATACTTTCAAATAGCTTCATGGTAGCTCTAAATGTTCAGTTTTATAATCACCTTTTTGCATATATGTCTTACTATACTCATTACATTCTGTTATTGTCAGGACTTTGCCATCATTTTTTTTTTCCAGATTTTTTGTTATCTTGTGCTCAGCCATTTATCTGACTTCAACTGAATACCTGTAATTACTTATGTGGTTTTTTTTGTAAATTAAATGACTGATGTGAAGTAGAAAATGAAGTACTAGTATACTCTTAGGGGGAAAATTTTCTCAGGCTTGAAAGAATTTGTTGGCATCAGAAGTTCCAGGTCCAACATTTCATGTTGAATCTTGGGGTAAAATATCCTTTCTCCCATTATATTTGCACAGTGGCAAAAAGAAAGTAGCATAAGCATACCAAAGAAGCTGGATGTGCCTGGGAAATCCCATGGACAGAGGAGACTGGTGGACTACAATCTGTAGGGTCAAGAGAGTCAGGACTTGGTGAACAAATAGTAGCAGCAGCAGCATAAAAAAGTGTGGATTCCCCAGATTTAGCTAGGGATTACTTTTATCTTGCCAAAGTGTATGAATCCTTGAATAAGGATATGTTGAAGGATGTGAAATATTGTGATGTTTGTTGAAAGAGCATCTGCTTACAAGTGAGGATGCCTGCATTTTTGTCTTTCCTTTGTCCCATCTTTGTGATTTCAGGCAAGTCACCAAACCTCCGTGGACATAATCCCCAATGTTCTTTGACTTCTTGCTTGCTTCTCTTTCACCTCTATCTCAGCAGTGCAAAGGACATTAACACAGGATTGTTCTAATGGGCACCAGACTTTTAAATTGGCATTCCTCTTAATATAACAAAAAGGACTAATGGTAACTCCTGGCCGGTGGGCCCTCAGAACTGGGGGCAACTGGGGGACAGGAAGAAAAGAGAGGCAGAGTGTCTTAGAAACCTTTGGAAGTGCTGAAGTGACTGGACAGTAGAAAATGAGCAAATATTTTAAAACTAGCCCTGAAATAAATGTCCCCTCACTCCTCCCCACCCAAGCCAAACAGATGTGTTTTGAAACTTTATAAATACGATAAATATTGAAAATACAGCTTTGTGTTTTTGGGGGATTTTTTTTTTCCCCAAAAAAGACTAGTGGTGACAGTTATGGAATGGCTTGAAAGAGTGAAATGTGAAAAAGTCACTGCTAGTTTATTGGTTGATAGGATTTTTTTCCCTTAATAGGGGACCCAGGGAATTTGGCTTTATTGAAAAAGAAAAAAGGGAAAAGAATAATCTGGAGAATTACCAGATAGAAACGTTATAGTAAGTTGAGCATTTGGAAATATATTTGAAGCCTTAATCTAAGGCTTAAATTCTTTGGGAAACTCCCCTGGCAAGTAATCAGATGATTACTCTGCTTAGTCTGTACCCATGCCAAGAAAAGCTCAAGCAGCCTTCCTTAATGTGTGCACTTTGGTGTTGGGACCATAAAGGGTTCCTGTTATCATCATTCAGTTTCCTTGGATTGAAGCTCTGTTAGTGCTATGTGGTTGGTGAAGTGCTCAGTCTTTTAAAAAATATGTGATAAGATTATGAATAAATAAGTGTACCACCCCTAATCAACTCCTTGTAAATCTGCCAAGAAGCCTTGGTACAGGGATGTGTTTATTAACCTAATTCCACCAGCTAGGCTTTTAACTTCTTTTTCTGGGCAAATTAGACATATCGAGGAGAAAATTTCATATAGGCAAAGGGGCTTTGATTTGTAACCATTAATGATGGGGGTGGGGGAGTATTTAGTACAACTGTGATGAGTTCCTTGATTGTCCTCAGAATTTTCTATTGCTTTTTGTTTGGCCTGTAAGACATGGGGAAGAGAAATCTTAATAGGACTACTATAAGATCTGTTACTGGTTTATAAAATGGTTTAGCATGAGGTGATAGAGCAGTGGATTGGGAAGAACTTTTAGGTTGTAATTTCAGTGCTGTCACTTTATGATCCTATACAAATTAACCTCCAGAGTGTTGGCTCTCCTGACCTGCTTTGTGCTGTAGTATTCTGTGGATAGTTCATAATCACTCTTTAGTATAGCACAGGTTGCAGAAATGTTTGGAACTACCTTAGGCTAATTTTAGTTTGCATTCTCTTCCCATCAACTTGCCTTACCATCTTATTTTTTTCTTCACTAAGAATAAAAGCACCACTTCTGAGTGGCTTCATGTTCTATAATTATATGAAAGAGATGTTTCAGAATGTAATATTTCTGTTTTCTGTCTTCTTTTATAGGACTTCGTATCTTTGCTGAAGTCAGTGATGTGAAAACACCTGACATGGGTAAGACTGATTATGAAGTAGTGTTCAATCCTTTTACTCTAATAAGTTAAGCTGGAATGAAAGAATATTTGCATCTGTGCTTAATAATATTTTCAATATTTGGATTTTTGTGTTAATAATTTTGAAGGAGATCTCATCCTGATTATATAATAACTATATCAATTTTTTGATTGGGCTATTCTTTATAGCAACATTTTAAAGCATTTTCTCATTCATTGTATTAAAAAGCCAAATACATAGTACCAAGTATTACTATGTGCAAGGCCTTTTAAGTACTTAAAATACTTAATAGTATCTAGTAGGTGGGCTTCACTGGTGACTCAGTGGTAAAGAAATCCACCTGCCAATGCAGGAGACAAGGGTTAGATCCCTGGATCAGGAAGATCCCCTGGAGAAGGAAATGGCAATCCACTCTAGTATTCCTGCCTGGGAAATCCCATGGATAGAGGAGCCTGGTGGGCTACAGTCCTTAGGGTCACAGAGTCAGAAACGACTTAGCCACTAAAGAGCAGTAGTATCTAGTAGGTACTGTTATTATCTGAGACACAGAGATTAAGAAACTTGCCTAGGATCACACAACTGTAATTGGCGAAGCCAGGATTTAAGCTCAGGCAGACTGGTTCTTTAGTACTGTGTTACACTGTGTATAATGGGCTTCCCTGATAGCTCAGTTGTAAAGAATCCACCTGCAGTGCGAGAGACCCTGGTTCAATTCCTGGGTTGGGAAGATCTGCTGGAGAAGGGCTAGGCTACCCACTCCAGTATTCTTGGGCTTCCTTTGTGGCTCAACTGGTAAAGAATCTGGCTGCATTGCGGGAGACCTGGGTTTGATCCTTGGGTTGGGAAGACCCCCTGGAGAAGGGAAAGGCTACCCACTCCAGTATTCTGGCCTAGAGAATTCCATGGACTATATATAGTCCATGGGGTCGCAAAGAGTTGGACACAACTGAGTGACTTTCACTTCACTTCGTACTGCTTATTATATGATAAATAATTTGATGAAGGTAAAATTTTAATTTCATTTAGTAGCATTGAGAATTAATTGTGATTGGAACATTTTCCTTTGTTCATAGTAGTTTATGTCTGCAATGGGAGCAATATAAATAAGGTCAAGACTAGTAGTCAGTTTAGGAATAGGGTGAAAAGCCTATACAGTTAGATCTTACAACATCACATATGTTTCTTTGAAGTCCACGTTAGTCTTCTCTCTACTGTCTTCTCCTTTTGCTCAGTCTCTCTTCTGGTCATTTGTTTCTCTTCTCTCTCATCGCTGATAGCAGTGTGAATTAATGAATTCCATTCCTCTCATTTGTTTCTGTTCTAGTCCTTTTATAGTAATAAAGCCCTCAAAAATGGTTATAAAAGTAAGGTTCTGCCACAGTATTGCAGTAATTGAGTTGATGTCTATTAAGAGCTATATGAATAAATTATGCTTTTTGCAGAAAAAATTTTCACATGGATTAGATTTCACAGCACCTTTTTGAGTTGAAATATGAAATAAAGTGGGTTAAGAGTATTTGTTTTGAATGGTAAAATTTTTCCCTATTTTTTTTAATATTTAAAATTTTTTCTACAGTTAAAATAATTAAAATTTTCTTTTGGGAAGATTTCATTATTTTTAAAACTTTGAATTAAGCTCTTTTTATTCTTGTACAAGTCTTGAACTGTTTAGTAGATGTTCTCAATTCCAAATTAACCAATTTCTGCACATGGGCCTCTTTTTTTTTTTTTTTTGACAGGGACATTTTGAGATTTCTTGCCAATAGTTGTGAAGGAGAGGTTTTATTTGACTGTAGAGGTGTTTGGGAGAATTCATTTTTATTAGGTGAAAAGATCGGTTCATGGAAAAATAAATACTGAAGCATTATGTGACTTGAACTAATCTGGACTCTCCCCAGATGATATTGCTGATAGGATGAGGATGGATGCTGGAGAAGTAACTTTAGTGAACCACAACTCCATATTCAAAACCCATCTCCTGTCACAAACAGGTTTTTCAGAGGACCAGCTTTCACTTTCTGACCATCAGGTTGGTAATAATTTTCTTTCCTTAATTTAATAATGAATTATTCAGGCTTAAGTTTTCATCTGATAGAGTTTAAATGCCACACTTGAAAACACAGGCAAATATGTAAACTTTTTAGAGTCGGTTATACTAGTGCTTCTAGCTCAGCTGGTAAAAAGTCTACCTGCAATGCAGGAGACCCTGGTTCGATTCCTGGGTCGGGAAGATCTGCTGGAGAAGGGAATGGCTACCCACTCCAGTATTCTTGGGCTTCCCTGGTGGCTCAGCTGGTAAAGAATTTGCCTGCAGTGTGGGAGACCTGGGTTGGATCACTGGGTTGGGAAGATCCCTGGAGAAGGGAAAGGCTACCCACTCCAGTGTTCTGGTCTGGAGAATTCCATAGACTGTGTGTTCCATGAGGTCACAAAAAATTGGATATGACTGAGCAACTTTCTCATACTAGTATTCGGAATTTTGTTCGATATGTTAAAGTTAAGGTAAGAACCAGGCTATGTATGAATTCTTGGAGAATGGTGCCTTTTAGAAAACTCTTATTCCTCAATATTTTATTTACCAGTACACAGATCAGTGATCTTTTAAACTGATGTCTTAAAATCACTGAGCGATAAATGGGAGGAAATTGAAAATATACAACAGCTCTGAGATTTCTCTGTTATATAAAGCTTAGTTTCTCAGGGATCAGGAGCATCAGCATCATCTGAGAGCTTATGAGAAATACAGAATCTCAAGCTTTACCCCATACCTACTGAATCAGAATCTATAGTTTAAAAAGTCTCTAGGTAAAAAAAAATAATAATAATAAAAAGTCTCTAGGTGATCTATATACACATTAAGATTTGAGGATCACTGTTAATAAAGCAGTCTTTCTCAGTAGGAAGCCATTACTAGTTTGGATAAGACTGTTCTTTGCTGTGTTCAGAATGTTTAGCATCCCGAACCTCTGGGCACTTAATACCTGTAGCATCTGACCCCAGTGATCATTTTGATAGCTGAATATATCTCTCCACATTTACAGACTTGTACTGGGGTACAGGAGCACCCCTGATTAAGAACTTTCCTGTTATCAAAGGAATCAAAACCAGGTTGATTTTGTCAGCTGCTTTGTTGTGCGATACAGCTGGCTTTGAGAATAGGATATACTAGATACATATTACCTTGTAATGAGCATTCTTTGAACTAAGTTGTTTAACAAATATTTTCACATTTTTTCCCCTTGAAGCCTTAGTCATTTCATCAGATTGTCTATGTGTCTTCCTTTCTTACTAGTATGCAGTTATATTATATACATATATACTATATTTAATTATATTGTTCTGAAATGTGTCATAATCTTGTCTAATTGTGTATGTTTCTAGTGTCAATCTTTATTGCATTTTATTGTTAAAAAATATGGCTAAAAAATCTTTTTGTTTTGTTTAGATTTTACCTTCCAGGCAAGGAAATTTGGACCGGTCTTATACTTGTTCTACAAGAAGTGCAGCTTATAGTCCAAACTATTATTCAGGTATGACACATTACTTGGAGTCAAGGCATTCCTACCTTTCAGTCTTCTTAGTAAATCATTTGTGTTTACTGTCTCTAAAAGTGAAAACATTGTCAAAAGCAAAATGGTGTTTTCTCCATTAAAACATCATTTTAGTAAGCTCTCTATTTGTGGTTGCTATAATACTTCACTAATCTAGTCTCAACCAAACATTTTTTAAGGGGAAATTGTTTTTTTGGAATCAGTTCTCCTACTTGCCTATTATGCCATTGTGAAAAGCAGTACAACTCTGATTTTGGATTTTTTTTTTTTAAGATATGTGTATGTAATGTGAAGGATACTTGTTTTGTACTGATTTAAAGCACAGAGCTAGCCTATTTGTATTTGGCTTAAAACCATAAATTCTGAAAACTTATTTCTACCCAAGGTTGTCCCTCCTTTAGGGCAGGAAATGTTCACTACATGTTTCTGTCTAGCACCTGCCACAGCCATGCTTGCATTTTCAAGGGCTTGCCTTTTCAACTTGTGATCCATAACAGAAATCAGCATTCTCTAGGCTATCCCTGGCCCCTGGCCTGCCTGCCTTTTCATCTGCCCCCTTCTTAAGGTTTGGATTTCTAATGATCTGGCTCTGTCTTAGGAAACTTAAGAGTTTTTTTATTGGTTAGCCTCCTGGCAGCATGACCCAGGAAGATTGTAGTGGTCTTCCAAAGTTTTTCACTCCTCATGCTTTCATCTCCTCACCTGACCACAAGTATGGGAATATTAGCCATACCATTGAACTTGTTTCAGTGGGATTTTTATAAGGATAAATTGAGATAATAAATATGAAATGCAAATAATAATTATTGTTATTTGGCTTCCTCAGGATTCTTTGTCAGCAAGATGAGATCTCCTCCCCTAAAAAGACGTTAGTATGATGCTCTTTGAGATTTATATTATATTTAAGTATCATTTAGTGGGTGGTACTTTACCTTGGGCACTGGATTTCCTCTCCCAGGGTGGGAAATGGTCTCCACATAGTATGTGCTTAATTGTCTAGAAAAATCAGTTAGTTTTTTCAGAAAGTAACTCTGCCATCATTGTTGTCGAAGAGTTCTTTCTGATGAGCAGAGAGCCTGAAATCTGGCTTCATAGGTCATTAATATTAATATTACGAATAGGACAGTTGAGTGGATAATGAAATCAGATCATTAATATTTTCATTTGAACTCAAGCTATATATGCTTGCAATTTTGTTTCCTGATTTACCATTGGACAGAATATTTGGTTTCAGTTTAAAGTAATTACCTTTAATATTAATTACATTTAATAAACAACATTATATAGAAAATTATACTCAAATTATAGTCAATATCTCCTGGCTAACTCAATTCTTACTTAATTCTGTGGTTGTTTCTGTTTTTTTGTCAGTATATATCCATGTACACATTGTATGATTCAAAACATATGATCTTTTGTTAACCCAGTTTTTTAAAAAATTTTCTGCTTACCTATTACTCTCCATATTTACCTTTTTCTGTTGATTTCTAATAACCCATGGAATTTATATACACATTCACAGTCCTTTACGTCCAATCCCAAACTTCAAAAGCCTCTGAAAACCAAAAATTTTTATCGTGATTTGTTTGACATCAAGACTGACCTGTATTCTTTTCTTAGCAAAAAACTACATGAATTGATATTTAACTATTTATGTTTTGCTTTTTAAAAAATCTCTGTAAATATGAATATTTACATATTTCACTATAGACATATCGATGTGTTTGATAACAAGGTGCTGCTTCAGGTTATACTTAGAAGCACTACATAGTATATGCCAGATTATCTTTGTAAAATTTCAAAAATTTTTTTAGATGTAGAAATACAGCTGAATCCAAGGGGCTGTGGTTTAAGATAATGGGCATGTGTCTTCATTTCCTTCATTTTCTTTCTGGTTTAGGTCCCCTTCATCTTCATTGTTTTTAGCTATTATAAATACATAACTTAAAAACATTTGTTTTTAGCTTTTTTCTTTTAAATTTCAGTAGACCCTTGATATTCACAAAGGATATTTCTGAGATCATCTCAGGTCCCTATATTCTTGACTGTGCTGGCTTTCTACTCAATTACATGATTCTTGAGGGTTATTTTTCTATGTTTGTCCTTACACCACAAGTTGATGCCTGTATCAAAATCTTATTGTCAGAGTTTTTGTCTTTCACTTGAAAGGCCATTTTTTTTTTTAGGAAAAGAAAAAAATTTGTAACAGTTACTTTAAATGTGATGACGACTAGAGAATATTAACAATGAGTAATAAAACCATATTGAATGGGGATGCTGAGCCATTAGATTCATTCTCTAAATTAAAACTTGAAGCAGAGGATTCAGATTTATGCCTCTGCCAAATTTAATCTAATCTGTGACCAAACAAATTTATAGTGTTGCACAGACCGCTAAGGTTGCTGTCTGACAATTAGAAATTTAAGTCTGTGAATGCCAAAGATCTGTATACTTTTTTTTCTTATACTGAAGACTGTAATTCAAATCTTTTTACTGTGTACTTTTTTTTTTTACTTCGTTGCCTTGCTACACCCATTCTTGTTTATTGCCAGTCCTGCAGAATATTGTTTCTGCTATATCCTTATCTTTTCTGAAAATTTCCACATTAATTTCTGTGGTCATTCACCTTGATTTGATTGGGCTAGACATGGGTCCTCAGTTTACTTGCCTTAGTCTCCTCATTATGACTGTATTGGTTTTTCTCTCTTCTCTTACCTTATCATCTACTTCTCCATTAAAGTGAAAAGAAACAGGAAAACCTCAAACTAGGATCTAGAGTCTACAGCTTCCCATTTACACTTTACTGAATCTGCCTCTCTGTATCAATCTTTTAAAATATTTCCAAGATCAGACCATTTAAAATGCTGATTTTTTTTTAAAAAGCTGATTTTAAAAGAAAAATTTAGAAAGCAAAGAAAACGCGTCATTTTCACTTTAATAACTTATTGTTGACCAGACTTCAAGACCTTTTGATTTTACTAAGAGCACAATTGGAAAACAAAACATTCTCAGCCTTAAATAAAAGTAGCTTAAGATGAAAAGAAATGATTTCGCTCATGCTTAGAATCATTATCAATGTCTTATCTTTATAAAATATGTTAAATTAGGTTGCCAAACTGATATTTAGTAGGTAAGGTGAATTGAAGCATCCTGTATTCATAAAAACTAAATAAACCTGAAACTTAACAGGAGCAACTGATGGTTACTTTCATAGTAAATGATTGCCTGACACACTTTTTTTTAATATGAAGTTTCACTGTGTCCATAAAAATATTGCCTGTCTCTACAGAAAATGTGTATAGAAAAGTAGAAAAATACCCGTAATTCCATCACCAAATTAAAATTTTGGTGTATTCCCCTATAGTGCTGTGTGTGTACACAAACACATAGGTAATCTTATTTGCAATCTGACTTCTTAATGATGACAGAATACTAAAAGAGTGCAGCCTCCTGTTGGTGGTCCCTCTGTAGCTTTGCTTGATCACATCAGCAATAGAGCACTGTTCAGTAATTTCACTGAGTGATTCTGGTGAAATAGATTGCTTGATCCTGTGCTTTTTCCTTTAATTTTAAAGCCAAAAAACCTGTGACATCTGTTAGATGCCATCGAAGAGGCTACTCTGGTTTATCCTTGGTCTCAAATTTGCATTTTTTGATAGACTTATTCCTCAAGTAGACATCTCAAGTTAGATCATTCCCTAATCAAATTTTAGCAAAAAGTATGAGAAACAGATTTCTATCATTATTACTTTGCTTAAAGATAATGATTTTCTGGTCCTTTAATGAAACTCATTTTCATTAGTCTCATGTCTCTATTTTTACAGTAGTAATAATAGATGTCAAGTCAAGCATAGTTGTTGGCTGCAGAGGGAAAAAGTTGTAATTCATTATGAAAATAAATTTAATTCTTAGATTAGGTCATACACTGGTACAGTAATGGTGGTACTTAATACCACCCTGGACTGTTTCTTTTATTTCTCTTATTTACCCTAAATTCTGATAATCCTGATCAGCTTCAAAAAAATCCACAATACAAAACTAGTATTTTTGTCAGTTGCCTTACTTTTTAGATAAAAGTATCAAAAGCTACATTAAGTAATTTAAATAGCAGATACATAATATTGTGCAAAAATTCTATAGTAATATGCTTTGAAAGAGGATCTTCAAGTGATGTGGGCATTAGACAAAAATTGCGGAAGTAGAGAATTACATTTTCATCTTTCCACTGGTGCACCTCAGTCACGTAGGCTAACATCTGAACTTATTTTGAAGGTGCTGTTTTAAATTGTCCCATCCTGCTGATAGACAGAGGAGGGTATAAAAATTTTCCTACTCCTAGCTGAAACTGAAAGTTTTTTATCACCCCAGTTTGTAAGCCACAAGTCATAAAATTGAAATAATAGGTAATCCTCACTTAGTCTGACTGCAGTAACAAGTATCAGAGTTTTGATATGTTTGATCATAACATTCAGTGATTGAAGTTATCATACCAGAACCAAATGCATATGATGAGTCATTCCTGCCATAAGCCGGCCAGAATAAGCAGCAATTAGGTTACCTCTGCTCTTAGAGCCCCTGAGTCGTGAACATGGTAATTAAAAACAGAGTGACACCAGCTGCTTATTAAGCAATAACTGTTGTTCATTTGAATTACAATTCTCCTTGGCCCTCCACCTGCTTTCTTACTGGTCTGGCCTACCTTCTTTCAGGCCCAGGCCTGGGAGTGCTTGCAAGATATAGTTGGGGTAAAATGTTGACTTTTGGTGGACACCACGGAGTCACATTGATGCAGATAAGGCACATGGCTGTGGCAGGATTCAGCTCCTTCATCAATTTTCAGGTTAGTATGGCTGAATCACTTATAGTTTGTAGAAGTTCCCTTACTGCAGACTTTGCTGGCAGTTGAGACTGGTATCTTTCTTCCATGAGAGACATGGTGATATGCCACATTACTTTGGAATACAATGTTGGACATGGTTGCAGTCATATGGAGAACCACTGTAGGTATTTGTTTAATTTATTCAAACTTTTATTCTTCTAGACAACACTTCCTCAGACAGTTTTATTGGCTCAGGAGACCTAAGAACCTTTGGCCAGAGTGCAAATGGCCAGTGGAGAAATTCCACTCCGGTATCAGGTTCAACTTTACAAAAATCAAGAAACAGCCGAAGTCTTTACCTCGAAACCCGAAAGACCTCAAGGTAAGTATTCTGGCTGCTTAGTTCACAAGCACTTTCTCCATTATAAGGGAAAATGGCCATAGGATAGTTGTTACTTTGGCACTTTTAAGAAGTAACACCATTTTTGAACTTTAAACCATAGTGCATACGTGTGCATGCTAAGTCACTTCAGTCATGTCTGACTCTTTGTGAACCTATGAACTGTAGCCCACCAGGCTTCTCTGTCCTTGGGATTCTCCAGGCAAGAATTCTGGACTGGGTTGCCATGCCGTCCTTCAGAGGCTCTTTCCAACCCAGGGGTTGAACCTGAATCATTTACATCTTCTGCATGGCAAGCAGGTTCTTTACTACTAGTACAAAGATGTGGACAAATTCATTTTGTACTTTCAACTTTTAATTTATTTGGTGCTGAATTTTGATAACAGCCAAAGTGAAAATGGATCAATTTTTGCAACTTTAATAGCAAAGAAACCACATTTTGCAGACTTCTAACATGAGCAGAGACCTGACTTCAACCAAAGCAGCCTTTTACTTTGGTCCACTGTTTCTATTAAATAATAGATACATAAAGAACTTCATCATAGTTAGCCTAACTTACAAGCCCTGCTTATTCTAACCTCACCAAATTTATACTGATTATTAAAGGCAGATGAAGTTTGGCTTAGAAACGTTCAATACTTTATGAAACCTCAAATACTTTATGTTGGTAAATTTTTTTATATGGTATTTATGATTTCTTAAATATTACTCTGGTGATAGATTTTAGACATGTAGGGTCATTTAGTTTCTTGCTTAGTCAAAGCTAAGCTTTCTGGTGTTGATTGAAACCAACCAGGTAGTTTTTATTTTATGATTATTAGCACATGACCTCTGGAAACATGCGTGAGTACCCCTAGGAATTGTCTTCCCTACTTCTTAATATTTAAAAAAATTATAAAATAATTCATTAATATAAAAAATAATTCATTAATACAGTTGCATTATAAAAATTAAAACATTGCCAATAAAGCCAAAAATTCCTTAACCCCTACTCACAGTCTTACTCCCTTCCTCTTCATGTGTTTCCTTCCAAATCTTTTCCTGTGTTCATTTCTCTTTCACTCTGTCCTACTTAGATATAGATGATACATATGCTATGTAATACTACAGAATGTATAATATGTTGACTTCATTAAAGATATTCTGTATGCGTCATTTGGCAAGTTGCTTTTTTACCCAAGAATGCCATACTGCTATTTTCTAAAATATTGTTATTATAGAAACAGGGCACATGCTTTGTACAAAATTGGAAAATACAGATAAACACAAAATAAGCAATAAAAACATCATATTCCCACCAATCAGTGATCACCTTTGTAATGTCTTACATTAATATATATATCCTTCCAGATATTTTCCTCGGTTTACACTTATTTTTTTCCAAAAATGAGTTCATACTGTGCATGCTCCTCTGTAATCTTTTTCAGTCAATCATCTTCTCCTTTTTCATTCAGTAAATTTTATCTTGTACACTGAATAAATTATATTTAAATTTTCCTAGCTGACCCAAAAGTATCCTTTACAGCTAGTTTGTTCAAACCAGTGTACAGTCTAGAATTCTATCAGTAGTTATCCCCCTTCAGTTTCTTACAGTCTTGAATAGCACTCTCTTTACTTTATAGTTCCACCATGTGTTATAATTATTTTTTAAGTAGATAAAGTAAGATTTTTGTTGGAGTTTCAATATCAAACTCTCAAAAATTAATAGAATGAATATACTGAGGAGTAGAAGGATATAGCAGACCTGAAAAGCGCTATGAACCAATTCAACATAATTAAGATTTATGCAATTTTCACATGGTAGTAGGATACATTTCTATTCGAGTTCCCATAGACTATAAACTAGGAGACACTGTATATATATATATATATATATATATATATATATATGTATCCAGGGACATAAGATTAGGTGCAAAAGTTTCATGGTCTAAAAGTGTTGAAATCATACGGAGTCTGTTCTCTTATCACTATGGAATTATGTTAGAAATCAATATCAAAAGATTATTTGAGAATAGACCACATATTTTCAGGTGCAATGTGACATTTACCAAGAGAGTTCTTCAATTTAGCCATTGAAAGCCTCAATAAAGTTAGAGGGTGATTGCAGAGAAGAAAGCACTTAAATGGGAAATTAGTATCAAAAGAGGAATTAATATTAAAGATACTTCAAACAGAATCCCATGTATTTGGAAATTAAATGTCCATTTTTAAATGATGAGTGTATCTAAGAAGCCATAACAAGGAAAATTAGAAAATATTTGTAATAGCATAACAATGAAAAGAGAATTTACCAGAATTTGTTGCATGCAGCTGAAGCAAATAGTGGACACTAGCATAACATTTTGTGAAATTTGAACAAAATCTGTAGTTAATAATACTCTATCATTTGTTAATTTATTGGGTTTTTTTTTTACAATGTAGCATTTCTTTATATTATCAGAATTGGATTACAAGTTTTAAGCCTCATTCAAATTTTTTTTAAAAATCACTAAGATAATAAATTTTCTAGACTTTCAGCAGTAATATTAGATCCCAACATACATGGAACTATATCAAAGTTTTCAGAGACTGTAAGTTAGAAATCTAGCATTCTGTTCATTCTAAGTCAAATAATTATGGAATCAAAAGGTCATAAATTCTTTTAGCTAGGCAAAAACTCATAAATCTTCTAAAATATGCATATTATACATGTTGTGTGTATATATCTATGTATACCAAAGCTTTTCTACTACAGAATAGCACCCCTTTTTTATGACATGTTTTTCTGCATAATTTTTACCTTTTGGATTTGACAGCTTGTTTCCTCATAGTATCTTTATTTTGTCCTCTCTCCTGCATGTATTTTATAAACTAGATTTTTCGCTTGAATAAAAGCTGATACTGTGTTACATCACATTAAAAAACCTACAACCATATTGTTAGTGATGCTGGGTTGACCTCTGGATTAGAGTTCCTGAGTTTGTTAGGTTTTCTTCCTCCCTTTGATTAAAATGTCACCTAAATGATGTTACTTTGGCACTATATGAATGACCAGTTTCAAATCAACCTAGGGGTTATTAATATTAAATGATAATCCTTATCTGATAATTTTTAATTGAGGTATAATTGATATATAACATTGTATTAGTGTCAGGTGTGCAGCATAATGATGCAGTATTTGTATATATTATGAAGTAATCACCACAATAAGTTAACACCCATCATCATACAGAAAGATCTACTCTCTTAATCACTTTCAAATACGGTATTATTAACTACAGTCACCATGCTGTATATTACATCCCATGACTTACTATTTTGTCACTGAAAGTTTGTACCTTTTGGCCCCCTTTGACCTGATAATAATTTTATTAGAGTTAATGAAATAGTATTTTTCTGATTTTATCATTTCTTTTGTACTAATTAACTGGCACTCTGCTATAAGGGAGAGCTTTTTTTGTGATGAGTTAGGGCTGTTTGGTTACCCTCTGGGAAGGCAGAGTATGTGATAATATCTTTCTTTTTCGTTACCAATTTTCAAAGTAAGTTTTAGCCACTTCATGTGGTTCAGATCAATTCAGATGAATTCAATCCATGGCAATCGTTATTCTTCTAATGCTTACATTCTCACAATGTTGGCCAGTGGGAGCTCCTTCACACTTCCATCTGTGTGTGATTCAGCCTCGGTTGTTGGTAGCTCCCTTGCTCTCTGGCATTGCAGGATGCCCTCATACTGTTTCTTTAGGTAAAAGAATCTTTGCGTTAAAACACACACACACACTCTTGGAAGAATAAATACAAAAGACACTGTGGGGAATCCATTATATCCTTACCAAGCAAACTGTGTTGTCCTTGCCATCTTTTGCTGGCTGCATCTACCCATCCTAAGAAAAGAATCTCGTTCCTGAGGTTCTAAGCTCTTTCTCCTTTCCCCACTCCATCACAGATAGAAATCATCAGAGTTTGAAAGAGTTGAGTATATGTACCTTTTTATTTTCTTTAGACCTAATCTGATTTCATTTGGATTCAGACCACATGTATTGATTTTAAAAGTTCATTTCAATAAATTCAGCTTAGTTAGCTATGTACATTATTCATCCTCAGCAGGAAGAAAATTATATGAGTGCAAGTAGCTATGCTGGGTGATAGTAGATGAACACATAGGAAATAACTATAAATTATTAACTTAACCTTAGAGATAAAACTGGGTTTTGAGTCCACAAAAATATTTTTATTGTCAGTTTTCTGCATTATTTGAAGCAGATATGGTATAAAGAAACAATTCTTCCAAAGAGATAAGAAGAGAGGCCAGAAGTCACGGTGATGCAGCCTCATAAGCCTTCTAGTTGTTTTTAGTGATAGATGGGAGCCCTCTGTTGGCCTTTTAGGAAACTTTAAAATTCAACTGAAAAACTCATTTGAGCTTCAGCTTTATTCATCTTTGCATATATAATCTGAAAATATTTTCCTCCAAAAGGCTGGAAGAGGGCCTGCAGGGAATAAATAGAAAATGTGTGCATATTAACGTACCTTGAACCCAGATTTTCTGAAGAAGTCTAATCCAGTGTGCTTCCTGTCATAGATGGCGAAACTAAGAAATAAAATTTTAGGTGTTTGATAATTATATAGTTTGGCAGTTTAAGACTTCATAAATGGCAGAACTTGAGACAGCAACTGATGTATCATTTCCTGTGTATTTCCCTCACAAGGTGCATCTGTCATTCTACCTGTTAATTTTTTGTTTCTATTATTTCTTGAAAGTGGAAATAATCACCTGCTTAGAGTTTCATGTCTTTTCTTACAAACTTTTTTTTTTTTAGTGGATTAGCAAACAATTTTACAGGAAAGTCAAACCATCACTGCCACGTGTCTGCATATGAAAAATCTTTTCCTATTAAACCTGTTTCAAGTCCGTCTTGGAGTGGTTCATGTCGTCGAAATCTTTTGAGCCCCAAGAAAACTCAGAGACGACATATTAGCACAGCAGAAGAGGTAAGGAAAAGCTGCTAAAAGTTAAACTTGCCCTACATTCAGCTATTTGTTCCCTCTAACTTAGATGTTTATTAACCATTGCATTTACTTAACTGTTTCTGTGGGGTTTTTTTTTTCTTGATTACTCTTTGAGTGCTGTCATCTTTTCTAAAAAGATTAAGGAGATAATTTAGCAGTATTTTTCTTACCATTTTCTGTTCCTGTTGGATAGCAGACTTAATCTTCAGTATTATCTGAGTGGCTTCTCGTACATCAGACTATCTCTTTTCTCTTTTGGACCCTTCGTAAAACTCTAGCTTCATGTAGCAAAACTGTTAACCTTGCTGGATTTGATAAAATACCTGTCCACCCTTCTTACCAGGATAACCTTTCCTCAATATAAAACAAAAATCAAGAAGACACTTAAACAATTTACATCTTTTCATTATGAGTAAAATCTTTGAGATCATAAACTTTCTTCACACAAAAGATGTGTTGACACTGTGTTGTTATATTCATTCAGTAAACCTAAAGGAAAAAATCATTTCTGTAAATATAATGTATAATTTATACAGTAAGGAAATGTACTTATACCTGGTCAATTAAATATTATGCATCTAGTCAGCTTTGGACTGATTGCTGTGGAGATACAAATGAATAATGGCCTCACACTTAGATAGCATTAGATTTTCCAGTGTGCTTTCCACATATATTACTGTTTTGAATTCTTTTAATCTGTGAAGTAGGTAGAGATGAGGTAATAGCCACAGTTCAGAAGGTTGGAAAGTAAAGGTTGGAAGTCACACAACTGAAAAACGGTCAGCCTGCAACCCAGTTCTTCTGCATGAGTCCAGTGTGGTATGATTTCTGCTACACAATATGGTGATGTGGTTCCTGCCCATTAAGAGCTTCCAGAGCCTGAAGTCAAGAATATAGTGTTATATGCTAAACAATTATGTAATTTGGTGGTAAAGATCTCTTAGGTGGCAAAACTTGATTATTTGTGACATGGTTAGTTAAAAATGCTGTATGTTTTTTGGTTTTAAATTTGTATTGAATCTACAGTATTCACAGAGGGTGACAAAACTAGTGCATCACCAGGGAGAAGGATAGACATAACTGGCAACAGTTGCCTTTGGTGATAGCTGAGCAACAGCTATTTCTTTTTTACTGTACCATTTGTAACATTGAATTTAGTACCGTCAGTTACTTCATATATAATTTTTTTTTAATTACTGGAGTTGTAGGCGTTGCACTTCTGCTAGAACCTAGGCAGTCTGCAGATACGGAGAGACTTGTGGAGAAAGAGTGACAGCATGGCAGCGGGACGCAGGCCTCCCAGACCCCTCCTCGCCCCACGTGGCGGCTGGAGTATCCTTCACACTGTGTGCATTGTAAGCCCACGCCATCACCCACTAGGAACCAGTATTTGGGACAACTCAGCCCCCCTTCCTCCTTTCACCTGCACTTCCAACCTGAGGCCTTGGGCTGACCAAATACTCTCATCCTTCCAGTTTACCCTCCAGGCCACAGGCTGGGTCAATGGAAGATGGGAGGCTGATTTCTCTTTCCTTCTACGGTGTCAAGAATATGCCAAGGCCTGAACCTGTCCTATGGAATAAAAGTTGCAGAAAATTTTACCTCATTTGTTTTTATTCTCAGTTGTTTTACCTATTCTCTGCTGTGAAAAGCAAGGTACTTGTAGTATAGAAATAGGAAGTAGTTTGTATTAAATGAATAAGATAAAATATTGAACCAAACTTAATTAAATGAAACTCTCAACAGATTATTTAGATGTTTAGTCTTAGGTGTTACAGATAATACAGATTAAAATATTACTTTTTTCCCACTGAAGTAAGATTATTGATGGGAGCTTATCAGTTCAGTTCAGTCACTCAGTCGTGTCCGACTCTCTGACCACATGGACTGCAGCACACCAGGCTTCCCTGTCCATCACCAACTCCCAGAGCCTACTCAAACTCATGTTCGTTAAGTCGGTGATGCCCTCCAACCATCTCATCCTCTGTCATCCCCTTTTCCTCCTTCCTTCAATCTTTCCCAGCATCAGGGTCTTTTCAAATGAGTCAGTTTTTCGCATCAGGTGGACAAAGTATTGGATCTTCAGCTTCAGCATCAGTCCTTCCAGTGAATATTCAGGACTTACTTCCTTTAGGATGGACTGGTTGGATCTCCTTGCTGTAAATTTATAAACTGGAGGAAAAGTTATTTTCCATGGAAATATTGGGATCTCCAAGGGAGGTGCTGTTGCTTATGTTTAAAGAAGGGGAATTGTGTATAATCTTATGTCTGGAGTTGTCTGACATCTTTAGGAGTATGAAGCCATCTATAGAATTAACATGTCACCACTGTACTGTTCAATTTTACAACAGAGATTTGAAGATAATACACAAGGAAGAGGAATTTGGAAATATGCATGTGGTGGCTGTACTACCACTTGGCTGATGGCTGATTCAAGGGCAACATTAAAGAACAATATTATCTAATTAGTAGTAACCTCTAGCCATGTGTGCTGTTTAAGTTAATTTAAATAAAATAAAAATGTAGTTTCTCAGTCACATTAGCCACATTTCAGGTACTCATTAGCCATACATGGCTAGTGGCTACCATATTGGATAGTGCAGATTAGGAACATTTCCATGATCACAGAATGTTCTCTTAGTACTGTTACAGAGGATATGAGTTTCTGTTTGGGAAAGAAAAAATACTAAAAAAAAAAAAAGAAATGTTAAACGGCAATAACACAGGTAGCTTCTTTTCAGTTATATGTTGCTTCCAGACATGCTTCTGTGCTACATGTTAAGTAGCATTTTAAGATGTTGGGCTGCCTTATAGATGACACTGGTGGGTTTATTCTTTTTGTTTTTTTTTTTTTTAAGAAAAACATACTTTACTAATTATCCTTAAACTTATTAAACTTTCTTTGGTCATGTATTAGATTTATAACATAACATTAGCCAACTTCCTTTGCTCTAACATTTTACCCAATTATAGCTTCCTTTCCTCTTAATTTATTAATTCGCTCACTCAATAGAAAATGATTTAGCAAGTAATATTGTTCACTCGCTAAGTTGTGTCCAACTCTTTGCAACCCCATGAACTGCAGGACACCAGGCTTCTCTGTCCATCACTACCTACTTGAGTTGGCTCAGACTCACGTCCATTGAGTCAGTGATGCCATCCAACCATCTCATTCTCTGTTGCCTCCTCCTCTTCTTGCCCTAAATTTTTCCTGGCATCAGGGTCTTTTCTAATGAGTCAGCTCCTCGCATCAGGTAGCCAAGTATTGGTGCTTCAGTATTAGGCCTTCCAGTGAATATTCAGGCCAGATTTCCTGTAGGATTGACTGGTTTGATCTCCTTGCTGTCCACAGGACTCTCAAGAGTCTTCTCCAGCACCACTATTCCAAAGCATCAGTTCTTTGGCATTCAGCCTTCTTTATGGTCCAGCTCTCACATCCGGACATGACTACAGGAAAAAACATAGTTTTGACTCTGTGGACCATTGTTGGCAAAGTGAGGTCTTTGCTTTTTAATGCACTGTTTAGGTTTGTCATAGCTTTTCTTCCAAGTAGCAAGCATTTGTTAAATCATAAATAAGTTTAAACAAAGTATGGGGCTTGAAGAGATCTCAGATAATTGTTTGAAGTAGAGAACTTTTTTTTTAATATGTTGTTTAGGTTTGTCATAGCTTTTCTTCTAAGGGGCAAGTGTCTGTTAAACCATAATCAGTTTAAACTGAAAATATGGGGCTTGAAGAGACCTCAGATAATTTGGAGTATTAGACATTTATTTCTGTTCATTTTTTTGTTGTCTAATGACTGTGAAGTTGTTCAGACTCAGGCAGAAGCTTTTCTTTGAAGATATATTTATTGAAGAAAATGATTGGTTGGGGACTTTTGTGTGTGTTAAATTATTCTTAACAGTCAACTTTGTGTTGAATTAATCTAGATTTGTTATAATTTGCATTAGATGAGTCACTTAATGGCACGTGGTTCTTCATGTTTTATTTATAAATATAAAAATTTATTCCAAGAAAACATATTTTATGTGATAGGAGGGAGGAGGGAAATGTTTCTAACTTTCTATGGTTTAATTCTTGTTTAAAAAGTTGTATTGAAGTAATTGTGATTTACAATATTGTGTTAGTTTCAGGTGTACAGCAAAGTGATTCAGTTATACAGATATTTATTCTTTTTTCAGATTTTTTTCTCATATAGGTTATCACAGAATATTGAGTAGCGTTCTCTGTGCTGTACAGCAGGTCCTTGCTTGTTGTAGGTCTTGTAATTGTAGTACGTATATGTTAGCCTCGAGCTGATTTATTCCTCCCCCTACTTTTCCCCTTTTGTTTGTAGTATTTAGGGTACCACAAAGATCCTTTCTATCTCATCTGTTGGTGTTCTCTTGAGGTCTTTTAAGTGATGGGGATATTTCTTTGCCTTCGCTTCATATGCAGAGTAGCCTGTTACACCAATGTATCTGCTTTACTTTTCTTCCTGTAATATAATATAGTCAAAGCTTTTTAAGATGTAGTTTGTTGGGACAGTGGAAGTGAACTAAAATGATTGAGTTAATATCCATGATTCAGGTGTAGTTCTCTACTTCTGATTTCCCTTCCCTCCCTCCATTTTACCACCCTTGAAAACAACATACTGTTAACCCCATAGTGTTGCAGATTAGGTTATTTGGTATAGTGGGAAAGTGGTATCAAGATTTATATTGAGGCATATTCAGAATTTTAGTCATTATAGTGCCAGATAGCACAGCTTTCTAGTATATAGATCACAGTGGAGTTAGTTGACAAAGATCTCTCTTACACCCTGATAATCTGTAATGATGCTTCTTTCTTTCAATTATGTACTTGAAGAATTTTCATAATAGCAAATTTATGTTTTAATAAGGGCTTCCCTGGTGGCTCAGATGGTAAAGAATCCTCCTGCAATGTGGGAGACCTGGGTTTGATCCCTGGGTTGGGAAGATCCTGGAGAAGGGAACAGCTACCCACTCCAGTATTCTGGCTTGGAGAATTCCATGGACAGAGGAGCCTGGCAGGCTACAGTCCATGGGGTTGCAAGGAGTTGGATAAAGAGGCATTTATTTTAATTATGATTTTTAATTATAAAAATATATAGACAGTCTCTTCACAAACACTAAAAAAAAAAAAGAGGACCACCATCATCTTGAATATATTAAGGTCTAAGGAGTAAGATAATGGTGTTTATTTTCTTCATAGAGAGCATTACAAATTTGTTCCTTCTCTTGGTTCTATTTTCCCACCAAATGCTCAACTACTTCTTTTGTGATCACTCAACTATTCAGATTTAAGGATAACTCTTTCTCATAAGGGGTAGTCAAGTTGCTCAGTGCAAGGTGTATCTTGTTAGATCTGTAACATTATACTGACAATGTAACTGAAATTTACTATGTACCAAAAAAAGATTGAAGAAGAAAAAATTTAGTGTCTCTTTACCTTTGCCTGGATCATTGCTTTATTCATTGTGCTTTTAACAAACTTTTGTAATTGAATGAAATGCTTATGTGCGTATTGAAATGTCACAGTGTAGGATGTTGCTAGCACTGACATGAACTGTAAGATTATTTTGTGAAGATTGATGGTTGTATTAAACTGTATATAAGATTTTTTTAAATCCTGGGGCATATTATTTAATGAATGCAGCCCATTACTTCAGGGGATCTGTGCAGAGTAGGTACATGATTACAGTTACAAGTTCTCATGTAAACTGGTTCTCTGCTAAATGGCCTCATTTCTCACTGTTGTTCTCCTGATTCACACTGACCTTACTATTCCTTAAACACAAGCATATTCCTGTCTGAGCCCTTTGCATTTGTTCTGCCAGTACCTGGAATACTCTTTATAAATTTCTATGACTGATTTATTCCTTTGATTTAGGTTTCTATAGAAATATCACCTTTTTAGAGAAGTCTTATCTGTTATTGCTGTTCTTCCCCCATCACTTTCTCTTCTCTTCAATTTTCTTCATACTACTTGACTGATTTTTTGTCAGTCCTTCAGCTTTAATGTAACCTCCGCAAGGCACAGACTTTTATTCAGTGCAGCATCTCTAGTGACTGGAGCATAGTAGGTGTTTAGGTCAGTAAGTGAACTATGCTGTGGAATATATGCTTTTCCCTCAATTCAGTATTGGAACTTCATGGGGAAAAAAAAGTAAATAAAAGTTGCCAATGAAAACCATCTCTGGAAAATATTTACACTCTTAAAAATTGGGTAGAATAGGAAACAGCGCTGATCTTGACTGTTCCAATTACTTCGTTGTGATTTTTCTAACAGGTATCAGGAGTCAAGGACTTTGTTGGAGTCATGCTTAGAGGTCCTCATTTTTTTTTTTAATGTTTTATTTCTGGGACAATCAGTGATGTGAAAATGGCCTTCTAGTTTCATATCCTACAGTTTCTGTGCTGCTGTTTACATATATGCCCCATAATTTTCCAAAATATACTATCGAATACTTGCTTCACTCACTTCTCTTATATGTGCTTTATGATTTTGTAGAATATTATTAATGAACCATAATTCTTAATTATTGTCAGGACACTGCCAGAGCTTTAACAGAGCTCTGGGAGTCTAGATATTACTTAGAGAAACATTGCCTCATTGAATGTATTTAAGGTTTTTTTTCTTCTTTTAAAGACAGTTAAAGAGGAAGAACGAGAGATTTACAGACAGCTGCTGCAGATGGTCACAGGGAAGCAGTTCTGTATAGCCAAACCCACCACACATTTTCCTTTACACCTGTGAGTCACAGAAACATATTTCAAATGAATTTTATTCTGCATTTTGTTGTTGGATGTTGAAATTGTTTTCTTTTCTTGCTAGGTCTCGATGTCTTAGTTCCAGTAAGAATACTTTGAAAGACCCATTGTTTAAAAATGGAAACTCTTGTGCAGCTCAGATCATTGGCTCTGATACTTCTTCATCTGGATCTGCCAGCATTTTAACTGCCCAGGAACAATTGTCCCACAGTGTGTTTTCCTTATCGTCTTACACCCCAGATGCTGGTACATTTGGATCCAAAGATTCTGATCCTGTGCATCAACCCGAACATGACCACTCTCTTTCACATCAGCCAGATAACTTACCAGCTTCAAATACAGAATCTGAAGGTAAAAATGGAATTGTATAGCTATAGTTTCAATAACCTATGAACGGTTTATTGGATCTATGAAAATTGTATGAATTATAGGCAAGGTAGTAATACACATGTAACTTAATTAAGATATAAGATACAAGATACCTTAAATACATTTAATTCAGTTAGCCATGCCATGAGTAAATGAAACATATAAGTAGCTTACTTTTTTCTTACATGGAGAGGCAAATGATTTCATATAATATTAAAAGTATAACTTCCTGAACAGTCTTGTGTCAGAGTATATTAAGCCCACTTACTTTAGTACTTTCACTGTTTCTAGTACTTTACAGTGAAAATTAAGTACTCTGAAGTTCTAGGAGTTTTGAAATATCCATTAAGAATTGAAGTAAAAGTTCTTAAATAAGTAGTACTTATAAAACCTGTGTAGTAGGTTTATGCATTTTGGAATGATTGTCAATAAGTTTTGAAAACAGAATTTTCTGTCTAACTTTCAGCTAACCAAAATATTTAGTCTCTTGGAATTCCAGTTAATTAAAGATTTTGCTATGGTAGTTTTTTGTTTGCTTAGTTTTCCTCTCCTTAGGTATGTATTATGTGTGTATTTATGGTATATATTTAGGCATATAACTTAAAACAAGTGTTTTAGTCTATTCCTCACTTTCTTAAAATCTCACTTGGGGATAAAAATTGTTGGTGTCATCATTATATGGCTACACAAATTCACAAAAACTTAAAAAATTTTGTGATTTACTGAGAACTATTATTAAAAGCCTTTAATTTCAGAAGCATTTATTTTATGTCAGATGCTTAAATACAACTAAACTGGAACAAACATACAATACTGAATGGTTTAGTTACTTCCTTATCCCATTTATTAAATATTCTAAATGAGATTCTAATCATAGTGCTTTAGAAGGACATGATTCCTACCTTTATCAATAGAAAATAAATGCTAGAATTTGTACTGTTTGGACTGCTGCTTCTCACATAGCTGTTGCTTTCTTTCTTTCTGCCTTCCCCCTCTTCCCTTCCTCCCTCCCCTTCCCTCTTGCACCTTGTTCAGTCTCATACTGGTTCATGAACTAAAGACTTTTGTGAAATCTTGGCATGTTCTTATTTCTCAGGAATAGAAGGAAAAAGTACAGGGAACAAGCACAGCCCAGGAGAAGATGCTAAAGGGCATATATACTTTTTTTTTTACTTTATTTGTGAGACAGGCTCTTCACTAAGCCCTATTTGTGTGGCTCAGTGAAAATGGACCTGCCTGTCTTTCTCTTCCATCTTACCTTTTATGCTGTGTTATTTTTATGGAAATAGAATATAGCAAAGTATGGGAATTTAAGCTGCAGACATTTAGAAGGTACAGCCATGAGGAATTTTGTTAATGATAGGCTCTTGTGTTTTTTGTTTAGGATCAGACTCTGTGATTTTACTCAAAGTGAAAGACTCCCAGATTCCAACTCCCAGGTAAACTTTGGTTAAAGGACATTCTTAACATTGTTTTCCCTCTCTTTAATCACAATTTCTTCACTACGAGTTAAGTAATATAAAACAGACTCAACTCAGACCTCTCTTATGTGTTGTTTGAATTACTTCAATAACTTCTTAATTGATCTTTTTTCCTCCAGCCTGCATTTTATTCTTCATGCCATTTTCCACCATGTTCTCTAACCCATTCTTTGCCTTGTTTGTTAGTCCATCTTCAATTCTACTGAGTGAACTTTCTAAAGTGCTTATCTAATCATTCATTAAACTCCCTCAGGAGTGGCTGATATGATGTGGAATCAAGCCCAAACTCCTGGTACAGTATTCAGCACTCTTCCTTCACATGCCTTGCTTCCTGTCATACGTTTTTCTTTAACAAGTATTTATTGATAGCCTAGGGGTGCGGGTACTGGTACAGACATTGGAAATAATAGCAGTTAACAAAATGAAGTTCTTACTCTGAAGAAATTTACATCCTAATTGTACCAAAAAGACCTTGATGCTGGAAAAGGTTGAGTGCAAGAAGAGAAGGGGGTGACAGAGGGTGAAATGGTTGGATAGCATCACCTTATCAATGGACATGAATTTGACCTAAACTCTGGGAGATAGTGAAGGACAGGGAAGCCTGGCACACTGCAGTCTGTGGACTTGCAAAGAGTTGGCCATGACTTAGTGACTAAACAACAACAAAGGAGAGGGATGGGGGACAAGTCATAACAAATAAACAAACACACATATACCTGGTGGTGATGAGTACTATGAAGAAAAATAAAACAGGGTAATACATAAACTGGGAATTGGGAGTGCTGTTTATCTAGATGGTCATGGCGAGTTTCTGCTAAGCTGACATTTGAGGAGAGACACAATTTGAGGTGAGAGGAGGAGCCATGTGCAAAATACTGGATTCTTTCATGTGTTTATTATATACTGACTTACAAGATGATAGGTATTTTCGTACTTTCACATGAATATGTGAAGTGTTTCTTCTGCCTGGTATGTACCCCCTCTCCTCCTTCAACTTGTCTATCAGGCAGTAGTCTTTTTCTTATCTTTTAAGTCTCAGTTCAGATATGATCTTCTGTATGAAATTTATCCCCTCTGAGAGGTACCAAGTATTTCTTCCTCTGTAATCCAGTAGGTTACTGTTAATACTTAGATTGCTATGTCTGCTATATTGGGCCTTAGCAATCAATTGCTAGGATAATAATAGTATCAATTTTTCATTGAGATGATTAGGGATAATAAGATATTCTTTCTCAATTCCCCTACATCTTTGCAGTTTCCCAGTATGTTCTAAACTTTTAGATATTTAAAGTGTTCTCAAAAAAAAAAAAGTATTCTCTAGTTAGTATAGTTTCTCAAGGAGACTTTACAGTTTAAATTCTTTAGTTTTGGGGCATTTTTTTTTTCTTTTTTTTTTTTTTGAGTTAAGACCTAGGTTCTGATATTGCCTCTTCCAGGCTTCATGTAACTTTGAACAAGTTATTCTTCTAAACCTCAATTTCCTTATCAATAAAATGCCAGTATTAATACTGCACTATTGAATTGTTGTGAAGGTAAACTTACAGATAAAACACTTACAAAAGTGTTTTACATGTATGCACAAAAATAGGTGTTCTTTCTTGGGAAAAAGTTGATTTCAGATGATGAGTGCTCTCAGTTTTTCTTTACTGAGTCTGTCTTTCCTTTATGGAGAATTTCTTCTGCTGATGACTGAACAGTGAGATGGATGAAAAGTAGTCTTGGGTGAGGCTCATTGGATGATGCTGTCTATCAAAGTTGGAGCTTGCTCTCTCAAGGCTTGGTTGATTGGCTCTTTATTCTTAATCATCCACCACTGCCTCTCAGTTAAGTTCCAGCAATGAAGATCTGCCCTTATTTCCAAGAATATGCCATGCATTTTATGCCTTTGTGGTGTTATACATTCCAACCCCTTCCCCTTCTGCCTGGAGTTTGCTTTCTCTCCTTGTCCACTTGTTACACTCTTATCTTGCTTCTTAAGCTCTGATTCAGGTGTTGTTTTTTTCCTCAGGACATTTCTTGGGCTTCTCCAGATATCATTAGTCTTTTCCTCCAGTACTTCTGTCTTTGTACCTTGTGTTACTAATATCTTTGCACTACCACCTGCTTTCAGTAATAGCACGTGACACTAAAAGTACTTAGGAAATAAATCTTTGTTATGTAACAAATTTCCTAGAAAGCCTGAAATACTCTGAGTAGTCCAAATACTCATCATCTCCATTGTGGCTTAATGCTTTGCTTTATTAGAAGACACTTTACAATAATAGAACACAGTCTTTGGAATTGGACTGAAGTAGTTTACAATCCTGACTCATCCAAGACAAATTATTCTTTTGAACTCAGTTTCCTTTTCTGTACAGTATAAGTAATGTTTCCCTACTACACATTATATTGAGGCTTAATAATTTAAGGATTATCGTAAGGCTTTGCCAATATGAGTTTGTACATAACCCAAAGAGAGTTTTGTACATAAAGCACTAAGTAGGTGCTTATTGCATCAGTTACATACGAAGTAACATGTAATCTCTGAAAAGCAAAGGGATTTTGCTTTTCCTTCTGTGTGTTGCTTTCCTATGCCAATAGATACCTTGATCCATTAAAGAGAAGTGCTTGTCCTTTACATTATTTATTTACTCAACAAATATTGAGTGCCTGCTATCTGTCAGGCACTATTCTTGGTACAGAGGATACAGTAGTAAATACAGAAGACAAAAATTCCTATCCTCATCAAGTTTATATTCTAATATGGGGAGCATTGGGCTTCCCTGATAGCTCAGTTGGTAAAGAATCTGCCTGCAATGCGGGAGATCCTGATTCTATTCCTGGGATGGCAAGATCCACTGGAGAAGGGAATGGCCACCCACTCTAGTATTCTTGGGCTTCCCTGGTGGCTCAGCTGGTAAAGAATCTGCCTGCAATGCGGGAGACGTGGGTTCAATCCCTGGGTTGAGAAGATCCCCTGGAGAAGGGAGAGGCTACCTACTCCAGTATTCTGACCTGGAGAATTCCATGGATTGTGTAGTCCATGGAGTCACAAAGAGTCAGACACGACTGAGCGACTTTCTTTTTTTTTTTTTTTTTTCACTTTCATGGGGAGCAGATTTGAATAGCGTGATCCAGTACCATGAAATTCTGGGTGATTTCTTGTCATGTAGTCATATTGTGCAGTAGATGTGTTCTCACATTCATTTATTTTTAGTATCACACACTAACTAGTCTCTCACAGTGCTTCCACTGATCTCTGTGACTTTCTTTCTTGGCTGTTACATCAGTTGTTCACTGCATTAAGGAGATAGGCTGCCTTCTTTGTGTTCTCCTCTTACTGACCTCAGTGACAGTGAATAGGTAGTAGGAACAGCATTTTTATCACTAAACCCCAAAACTAAGGGTTACTGGGAATACTGATTCTCAGAAGTTAGGCTTAGGAGCAAAGGATTACCTCTGAGCCTTTATTTTTGCTTTTACAGGACAAATTGTAGAAGTTTAAAAACTGAAAGAGACTCTTATCTCCATATTTACAAATGCAGAAATTGAGGCCCATGTAAAGGGAAGTGACTTGCTCAAAGTCACAAAGCTAATCAGGGGCAGCTCTAAGAGATTCTGGTCTCTTAACTTTCAGTTTGACACTCTTGTTAACTTGTTCTCCATATCCAAAAGTTTTCTTTGGAAAAGTGCTCACTTGCCTTTCATTTGGTTCTGTGAGAACTCCTTCAGTTAGAGGGGAGATGAGCAATGAGATAAGAAAGTTTGAGAAGAGCAAAAAGGCTCTCGAACAGATAGCATACCTGTGACTCTGCTAGCATCATTCCCTTGGGTTGTCAGCAAGAGCTGCATGGAATAAAATTGGTCTCTCATCTTTGGAAGGGAGTCATATCGCTGATTATCCACGTTGGTTCATTGGTTTATTAGCCATTTGATATGGACTATGCTGTGAGTGGGGATTTTCAGTATCTACTGTGATGTGGTTGAATGTATTCTGACTCAGACCTATAAGAAGTCCAACAACCCATAATATTTTATTAAACAATCAATAAATGTCAATCTGAGCCATTTGGAAAGAGGAACATTCTAGTTTTAATATATTACCTTGATAAATGTTGTATTTTTCACATCATGTTCATCTCTCTTGCAAGTAAGGAGCATGCTAAACTTAATTTCTCTGCTGAATGTTGGGTCATCTTTTTAACTATATGTATGCAAATGACTCATTTGTTTTCCTTTGCTTCCCAGTTAGAATTGTTTTATGTAATTTAGGTCCTTTTATTTATCCCATACTTATAAAGCATTTGTATAAACTATTTAAATGATTGGTTTTCTTGATGAAAATATTTGATATTCTTTTAAGTCTCCTGTTCATTTGTCACATTTTTCTTTTCCTCCCCATAGTCCTACTTTTTTCCAGGCAGAGCTGTGGATCAAAGAATTGTAAGTAATTATTTTTAGTATCATTTTGCCTCTTCATCACTTTGTTTTCAGTTAGAATAAATCAATTATTCAATCTTGCTACCTATTTTTAGTCAGTAAAAATTTCCTATTTATTTATAAAATAACTTCTAAGTTACTGACTTTCAGAAGTGTTTTGGAGATGGGACACTTCTATGCTCAGGTTTATTAAATCTGTAACAATTGTTGAAACTAAGATGAATTGCAAAAATATTTCAGTTAGCTATTAAACAGAAAGGAAAATAAATACCTTTATTTTCATACTGATAAAACTAATTGATTGGATAATATTTATTTCTGGAGTTTGCAGAATCACTGAAGATTTAGTTTCTAGTTTCAGGGACTCACTTTGGTTATCTCTCTTGGTCTGGTAGATTTTTTTTTTTTTAATATTTATTTATTTGGCTGTGTTCGGTCTAAGTTATGGCACGCAAGATCTTTGTCATGTCATATGGGATCTTCATTGTGGCATGAAGGCTCTCTACCCTTGACATGAGGCTCCAGAGCAGGTGGGCTTAGTAGCTGTGACATGTGGACCTAGTTGTCCCAGGGCATGTGGGATTGTAGTTCCCCAACCAGCAATGGAATCGACATCTTTTGTATTATTTTCGTCTTTGGGATTCAGTCTCATTTTTGGATTTCCAGAATGAAGCTTCACTTTCTCCTTAATTTTAGAAGCATAGTTTAAAAAAAAAAAGATTACACATTTACAAATATCCACAAAAGTCGCTTGTTCATGTTTAGCAACAAACTAATAATTTTCATCATTTCAAAAAACTAGTAAGGTAATTTCAGTAACACCATGTAGTTTCACTTCGTCTTAAAGCAAGTGTAGTGATAAGTTAGTATAAGGGTTTTAGGCTTTTACTCTGAGAGTTTTATATTTAATGCTCATTGTGCATCAGCAGTATTCTTGATGCTAAGCGAGTGGTCTGCATTTTTTGTTCGTAGAACTAGTGTTTATGATTCTCGAGCACGGGAAAGATTGCGCCAGATTGAAGAGCAGAAAGCACTGGCATTACAACTTCAAAACCAGGTAAAAAAGTTTTTTTGAGATACAAATGAATAGCATATCCAAGTTGAAACTAATTTTGGAAGGTTACCTGGATTTGGAATCAAAGCTGTTGAGTTGCAAGGTAGTATATGGTAGCACAGCCTTGCTGGGCTGTGTTCTTGGTCTGTCCAGCTGGTCCTACTCAGTGTGTAGACAAGCAGTAGATTGCTGTACTCCACTTATTTTGAGGGTCTGTCTTTCAGAGACTGCAGGAACAGGAACATTCAGTACATGATTCAGTAGAACTGCATCTTCGTGTGCCTCTTGAAAAGGAGATCCCGGTCACGATCGCCCAAGAAACAGGGAAAAAGGGTCATAAATTGACTGACAGTGAAGACGAATTTCCTGAAATTACAGAGGTAAATTACATAGTATAAATTCCTACACTGGCAAGTGTTGTGTTTCGAGAGAATTCTTTGGACAGATTTCAAACATAAAAGTAATAGACCAGGGACTCCCCTGGCGGTCCAGTGGTTAAGACTCAGTGCTTCTACCTGAAGGGTGTTCGATCCATGGTCAGGGAATTAAGATCACAAATGCTGAGTGGTGCAGCCAAAAAACAGTAATAGATCACCTGGTATTTAAATTGTATTCCATACTCCTGCTTTCATTTGTATTGCATAACAATATTAGCTTTGTTTTTAAAAGATTACTGAAAATTCAGGAAAGAATTATGGGTGACTTGTAGTGATTTCAGTGAAAAAGCATTCAGTAAATTTGTTTCAGTTCCTATGCATTTTTACTTAATACATATGTGTAGTACTTTTACATCAAATAGTAAGTTGAGCATTACCTTTTTTTTTTAAGTAATAAAAATTCAGTATAAAAATTTGGAAAATACATAAAAGTCTACATACATTTAAAAGTAATCTGTTTCTTAGTTCATTCGTCTTTGAAAACCTGTCATATAGCTGGTGAGTATAACACATTTATTAACACTATAGTTGTGCTGAATTCTACATTTACACTAAAAAAACCACAAATTTTTCTGGGAAAATGTGTCTAAAAGACATCACTTCCTTATTACCTTTGAGAAAGATTCTGTTTCTCAGGAAATTGGACTGAAGATGTATAATTAGGTCTTTTCATAGGCTTAGGAAATTTGATAGCAGAAAGTTATTTCAGACTCAAGAAATAATATGAAATAAGGGTCTGAAATGTGCTGAAAAAGAGAAGGGAGGAAGAGCTAGGATGGAAGGAAGTAATCAGGAGATTACTGGAAGGAACAGAAACCAAAATGTTAGGAGTGGTTGATTTAAGTCTGGGGATTGCATGGGGCTTGATGAGAAATTGGTGTGTCCAAGGCCATGTATGCCTAATCTCTGACACTTCTTGGTTCCCTAGGAAATGGAGAAAGAAATAAAGAATGTATTTCGTAATGGGAACCAGGATGAAGTTCTGAGTGAAGCATTCCGCTTGACCATTACACGCAAAGATATTCAAACTCTAAATCACCTTAACTGGCTCAATGATGAGGTAATCTCACACTTGTTTTTATATTCAAATAGAAAGTGAACATCAAGTGCAGACTAAAGACTGTTTCACTGTTTCTCAAAGTGTGGTCCTTGATGACCTGCTTCAGAATCAGCTGTCATAGCTTTTTCCATTTTCCTGCCTAAGTATGAAGCAGTGTGGTAGAGATACATATTTTAAACAAACATCTCAGGTGATTTTTTTTTTTTATGTACCTTAATGTCTGGGAACTGACATTAAGCTGATTTACCTTTTTATGTATTGACAATTTAGATACTGATATAGAGGACATTTACTCATTGGTATTTTTACCCTCTTTAAGCCACTTGCCATGCAGTTCACATCTTTTGTTAAGCAAGTATTTAATAGCTGACCATGTTACAGCACATGAAGGAATACTTTGGGGTTTCCATATAGGAATCCATTTCTGTTACCCTTTCTCTTTATTTAGGTCACTTAGATTATGAGTGGTAAGCTTTCTAAAATAGCCTACATTTGTACATAATATTTTTTAAACTGACATTGAAGAAGTTTTATTAAATATTTGAGGTATTGAGTTAAAAAGTGTTATGGGTCTTGGCTCCCAAGTGTTCTAATTATTTTAGAACACTTATTATTTAGAACACATTATTATTTAGATTAGTTGCGTTGGAATCTTCAAACTGATCTTTCCTATTCCTAAACCTGTAGGAGCCTGTTTTATTTCACAAGGATATTTTCACAGCAAAAGAAGAGAACTGGGTTGGGGTTTTTCCCTAAGTACCTGCCTCCTTACTAGGAGCATTCCTGCCTAAAATCTTGGGTGTACTCAAGTTTCATCGCTATGGAAACTTTTTAGATACTCAATATAGTAAGCACTAGATATTCTAGGGGGCTTCCCAAGTGGCTCAGCAGTAAAGAATCCTTCTGCTAATGCGGGAGATACGGGTTCAATCCTTGGATCAGGAAGATCCCCTGGAGAAGAAAATGACAACCCACTCCAGTATTCTTGCCTTGGAAATCCCATGTACTGGCAGGCCACAGTCCGTGAGGTCACAAAAGAGTAGGACCTGACTTAGCAACTGAACAAAAACCAAATATCCTAGATACCAGTATCCTGGCCTTGTATGTTTATGACCTTCCAAATACTAATATTTGGCCAACGTCTGTTGGACATTTACCTTATGTAATCTAAGTTTTATGTGTTCTGCTCATGCCATAGTCACCACAGCTCTTGGAGATGGATGCTGTAGTTTTATCATCTCCATTTAATAGATGAAGAAATAAGACATAAAAAGATTAAGAAACTTGCAAAGTTACATGACTTTGTAATAGCAAGCCAGGATTCAGACTCAAGCATTGGGTCTTATCTGTTATATCATACTGCCTTAGAATCTTAAGTTGTATCCTGTTTCAGGATTAGATATAGAGAATTTTAGAGCCATATGTCTTGTCCAGTAGGTTGATTTTCTGTGGGATTTGTTGAACTAGCTCATTCTCTTTGCCTTTGGTGAGTTTATAAGATAAAATTTCAGAAGTTCATCACTCCTTGAATAATATCTTTGACCAAGAATAGTAAAGAAGGCATGGTTTGAGATACCATCTTGCTTTATGGAAAACAACTCTTGCTTCTTGTGGCCCAGAATAGTGGTATTAGAACATTGGGTCAAAATAACAGGAAAAAAAAAAGCTCACCAAATCAAAGAGCAAAATGAAAATCAAGAACAGTCAAAAGTTTCCACCAGTTAAGTATTTTTCTTTGAAGATATTAGTGTGAGGTCTCTTGCCAATTTTTACCTGGGGCTTTTAAGTGGGGAAGACCCAGTTATTCTATTCAGATTACAGCTTTGTTGTAAATTATCCAAAAACTTCCAGGGGGCAGCAGTGAGCAGGACATGAGCTGAGTTCTTGCTGTATGTACTGTGGTAGTTACCTCAGTGAGCTCCCTTACAGAGGCAACATTCATCAGGACATCCATTCCCTGGGTCCATCAGAGGATTTTTAGCAAGCAGAGTTAATGGAAATTACATTATTTAGGAGAGAAAAGGGGAAGGTAAGATTCCTTGTCTACTTTATCTCTACCACATTTACCCATAACTTTTGTAAGGAGTCCTTGTCTTCTGAGTTGAGAATAATGTTAACTTTGAAAGCAGGTGCCAGTTCCTTTGAGAATAATGTTAAATTTAAAAGCAGGTGCCACTTCACATGTCCATGATGATGATGAGAACTGTTTTAATAAGTACTTTAATAACTGTTTTAAAAAGCATCATTTTCAAAGTACCATACTTCTCACACTTTCAGAGTTACTGTCCTTAAAAAGCTGATAACATTCTGAAGGAGAATTAGTAGATATCCTTAAGTATTCATACTCATTTTGAAATACTTAATTGTTTCTCAATTGTGAACCCTCAATATTTTGCAAATAATTTGCTCTCTCTTCAATCCTGTTCTCCTTCCCTCAAATAGATATTTTCATTAGTAGCCTTTCTTTTATTTTTGTTTCTCATGTCAGTTTTATAGACTTCATTAAAATTTTCTCCCAAGAAAGGTGATTGACATTTTATAGACAAAGAATGTAAGATCCTAGAAATGAAAGGGATCAGATTTAGCTTATAAGGAAAATAAAATCAAGAAGTCCTATATTTGAGATATGTACAAATAGCCATTAGATTACTCTTTCTCAGGTCGTTTTTCTAAAAGAAGAGTAGGCCACAGTGCCTGTTCTTGGAGTAAGCTTTCCAACATATTTGCAAGAATGGATTTATATATAAGTGAATAGCTAAATTCTATACAAATTCAAAGGACTAATGACAGGATTAACATTGTACCTCACTGTAAGAAAGTGAAGCTTCTCAAAATTGGAATGTGGGAACTGACTGCCTTGTAAAGAATTACAAAATGAGGCTGGAAAGGTGAGAACATGTAGATGGAGATTTCTATACCAGGTCTGGTGACTAGTGATAAAAATAATTAAGGGAAGGAAGACAGGGTTAAAGAGAGGAGGAATTAGTTGCAAAAGTAGATTGAAAGTCACAATTAAGAAACAAAAGGAAGTATTTTTAAGTAAATGTCAATTGAAATAACAAACAGTAGAAATTGTGTATTATTTCCTGAAGATAGAGTTGAATAATTTATGGAATCCAACTCTTAAGATTTTAGGTTAATGATCCTGAAGTGAGGGCTACTTTAGGCTTATTGTTTCTCTTTATGGCCTGCTAATTCTGCTCTTAGAGGGCCTAATTGTTGTTTTATAAAGCATCAGATAAGTTTAGAAATATGTGAAAATTATTTAGGCATACAAATAAATTTGACATCTTCTGATCATGATAGAATAAAGTAGATCAGATTTATTCTCTCAAATAGAAAAGTAGATAAAACACCTGAAGCAGCAATTTTCAGACACTGGATAACAGTGATTCCTGAGAGGATAGAAATGAAAAGCATGAACCTGTGATTCCCACAGCTTACTGGGGTGTGGTGTGTTAAAGGGAGAGAGCTGGTAAAAACCTGGCCATGCCTGGCAGTCTCTTGCTGAGTAGAGGAGACATTTTTCAGTGAGGCCAAAGCAGCTAAGGTTTGTGAGATAAATACTGGTGGGGAAGTTGCTGAACAAAGAGAAAGCTCCAGAGATGTGCAGAGGGCCTCCCTGGAATCTGGCTGAGTGCTGATCTATACATATATGGCAAGAAACCACCAGTGGCTGTGGAAAGAACCACCAGAAAGAAGGAATCATAACAAGCATGAGAGCTAACAGGGGTGCCAAGAATAGTTTATATCCCAAGCAGCTGGAGTAGAAGAGTTGTGGGGCATTGAATAGTGAGTCCTCAAAAGGGCATTGCATCAAGAGTGGGGCCAGAAAGGCAGGCCCTAGAGTAAAGGCTGCTCTGGACCCATGGTAACAAACTTAAATACAAGTCTTAAAAGCTTGGAACTGATCCAAGTAACTTAACTGTATCACAGAACAAAACCCAACAATATTTAAAGGAATACAACAAATTCTGGTAACAACAGAACCCAACAACATTGAAATTCACAAAGTCTAGCATCTAATTAAAAATTCCCAGGCATGAAATAGAAGAAAAATATAAAAAAGGGGAAAAAAAATCACTATAGAAATACCCAGAAGAGAAAAATATGTTAAAATTAGCCAACAAAGATATTAAAACAGATACCATAACTAATATTCCACATGTTCAGGTAAGTAGAGGAAAGTGGACATTATGAGGAGAAAAATGGAGAATATAAAAAAAGATCCAAATTGAATTTCTAGAGGTGAAAAATACAGTATCTGATATTAAAAATACATGAAATGAGAGTAACAGTTTAGATACTGTGGAAGGAAAAATTAGTAACCTTGAAAATAGAGCAGTATAAACCATCCAAGTGAAATAGAAAAAAGGCTGAAAAAAGATGACTGGAGCTTAGTGAGCTCAGGGACGGTATCAAGTCTAAGCATGTAATTGAAGTCCCAGACGGGAAGATGGGGTGTAAGTGGTACAGAAAACAATGTTTAACATTGTTAAACATTCTGTTTAAACAGAAAAATATATTTAAATAAATAATGGTGGAAGATTTTCCAGATTTGGGAGCATACTGACAGATTCAAGAAATTCAGCATACCCCAAGTAAGAGAAATACCATACTGAAATGTATAGTATTCAAATTGCTAAAGACCAATAATAAAGAGAAAAATAATGAAAAAAGCAGAAAAGACATATTATATACAGAGGAACAAAGATCTGTCAGAAACCATGTAGGCCAGAGGACAGTTGTAGCTACATCTTTAAAATACTGAAGGAAAAAGAAAACCATCAACCTAAATTCTATACCAACAAATATATCTTTGAAGAAATAAGGCTATACTTTTTTAGACAAGCAAATGCTGAAGAATTCATCACCAGCAGACTTCTCTTTAAGAAATATTAAAGGATATTTTTTAGGCAGAGGAAAAATTTGAGTTGAAAGTTTCAGTCTACATGAGGAATGAAGAGCAGTGGAAATGCTGTCATCCTTTATTATCTCTG